GCAACCTTCTTTATTGATACTTGATTCCTACAAAAATAAAAATAAATTAATGTTCAAAAACTCACTAGTCACCAATTACCATAGTATATAGAACCTTTGCCCACACATAATAGCTAGTTAAACTACAGGTGACAATTAATTCCGGACAGAAGGAGCAATATATAATCGGAAACTGATCTCGGAATATAACCAAATAAACAAGGAAAGCTATAAGTTACTTACATTGGATGTTTGTGGCTTAATATCTCTAGGAAAAAGTCTTGTAGCTTGAACATTTACCAAACAAGAGAGTAAAAGAAGAGCAAAAATCAACGTTATGAAGCATTTGGCCATGTCTACCCAAAAAAAGCAATTAGAGCGAGAAATATAGAAAATAATAAAAAGATGGAAGAGTAGAGACATATTTATGGGAGAGTGGGCAAATAAATAAGAGAAGATTCGCATGGAATATTAAATGGAGAAAAAGAGATTGGGTGATTGGTGGGAAATGGAGATTGAAGACTAGAGATTAAAATTGATCGATTAAATGAATCTTGGAATTCTAAAAGCATACAAAAAGTCAAAAGTATCATCACATACCTTACCCACCAAGGTCAATTGATGCTATAATTAATTCTATTTTTGCTTCCCTAGGAAACATCATCGAGTACTCTTTAACGTTATTAAGGTGAGCTGTTAAATATTTGGGTTGGTTAATTTCATCTTTTTTTAACCATTTCAGATAAAATAACTTCTTAAAAATTTAAAAATGATTAATGGAGAGAAATAAAATAAATTCGAATAAAATAAAAAGTTCAGATAAAATAATTTCAGACAAAATTAGATGAGCCAAACAAATCCTTACTCCATTCTATCCTAATTTTATAATATCAATTTCGTTTTGTATGGTGTTCAAAATGTACGTTTGACACCTAATATCTTTAATAAGAAAACAAGTTCTAATAAAATAATTTCAAATAAAATCAGATGAGTCAAACAAAGCCTTACTCCATCTATCCCAAATTACAATATCAATTTCATTTCGTATGGTGTTAAAAATGTACGTTTGACCACTAATATCTTAATAAGAAAACAAATTCAAATAAATAATTTCAGACAATATTAGATGAGCCAAACAAAACCTTACTCCATCTATCTCAAATTACAATATCAATTTCATTTTGTATGGTGTTCAAAATGTATGTTTGACCACTAATATCTTTAGTTACACATTAATAAAAATTATATAAAAATAATAATATCATAATACTCATATAAAACTATACATTGAGTAATTAAGACGAATCTAATCATATCTCGCATATATGTTGTTTGTACGAAGTAACCATGAAAATAAGAATAAGAACTATAGAATATATTTATATATATATATATGAACCTCTCTTCTAAAATTATCTGACTAGGTTAGAAAAATAGAGAAAATCCCAGTTTATCTCCTTAATTAAATGGCAAAACTGTAAGTAAATTTATTTATCATGTTGGATATCCAAATATTTGATGCTAATTGTTATGTATCCAATATCTAACTAGGAGAATTTTTGTGTACCAAAGTTTGGGTTTCTAGAACTTCAATTCGGATGATATGTTCTCTATGTCATTTACTTCGTATATTGTTAATGGTTATAAAATACTAGTTAAATACCAATCTATTAGGGATATTGGTTTCAGCCCCCGATCCATGCCCACAGCCACCCAATCACCGCAATAGTCACTATTATGTTATACTAGTACCTACTCTAGGCGTTATTCCGGATTTCCTCCGTAATACATATCTTTATGTTTTAAAAATCCTTACATTAATTACCTACTTATAAAATAATTATAAAGTAATAATTTTTTCTCTCAAAGACATTATTACTAATGTTTAAATCTATCCACGTTTGAAACTTTTGTGCTTTAAAAGTTCATAATTGGATGAGTAATTTGATTTTACAGTTTCATTGATACTTAACAATTTGAACTCCTAGACTTTATTCAAAACCCTTAGTTCGAAAGTAAGTTTTCGGCTCCTAGACTTTTAGGATTTTTTTTTTTTGGAACGACGATTGGCTATTTGGAATTTTAATTATGGTGGCAATACCCGGTTTGTTTATTGAATTTTAAATAAAGTTTTAATCTATATGCCAAATTTTAAAACATATCATTGATACTAACATTGTTATGTAAGAGGTGTATATCCCTTATGATTTAGAATATTTTGACAAAGGATACCATTGTTTTTTGTAAGAGCACAATATATTATAGAAATTTAATATCATATCATATCATATCAATAATATATAAAGCCGGTCTCGCAGGCAGACCACGAGACAACGACACTTGGCGTTCCAGTTTTTTTCCAAGTGTCGAGCCACGTAGGCGAAAAATAGGTATTATTGTGACACATAGGATGCTAAGTAAACGAATTTTGGATGAATTTTTGTAAGATAAAAATATTGTATAGTGTTTTATTATCGATATATTTCTAATATTTCTTATATACAAAACTAAATGTAACTTTTAATAAATATCTTATAAATCAGTACTATTTCCATCATAAAATTCGTTTTAAAAAGTTCTTCAAAATGAGATCCATCTATAATATGTTTTGATAAAAAATAGAAAATCATTAAAAATAAGTTTTAATCAGAAAAAATAATTTTAGTTTGGTAAATTAATAACATAGATATCTATTTACAACTAAAACTACAAAAAGTACACTATAATATAAATAAGCGATATGATATCGTATGTCTAAATATTTTACATTATTAAAAGGGGTTATATGATCGTATTTAATATTCTTACATTATCAAAAGGGGTTATATGATCGTATTTAACATTCGAGTTAAAAGGTTTAGGACAATCCGGACATCGCCTGGGGACAAAACTAGTATATATATAGGGAATTTTTTTCCAAGATTTTAGAGAGCCACATAGGATTTTAATTTTTTAAAAATTATTAGAGTGCCATGTAGGATTAGTATTTTTAGAGCGTTACGTATAGGATTATGCCACATAGGATTATTATTTTAAACCGTCATGTAGGATTAAAATTAAAAGTTTAAATTTATTATAAAAATAAAATATTATCTTTTAAAATTGAAAATTTTATCTAAGAGAAAAGAAACAATTTATATTATTTCGTATACATACAAAAATACTATTAAACTTAAAAAATGATATTCAAGTAAAAAAATAATGAAACATGAGAAGTGATTAAAATAAATATTTTTTTGAAAAAATTCTAATTGAAACTAAAAATATATCCTTTCTTTTTTCCAGCAAATAAAAAAAATGTTCATCATTTATCATTTATTCGGCAATTAAGTTCTACGTTAATAAAATTTATCATATTTAATAAACTTTATCACCACTTTAAATCTAATAGTTTTTCAATCCTATTTAAACTCATCTAATGTTCCACAAAAATAAACGTAAAACTTTTACAGGCAACGAAGCATATTTTAGAATTTGAACACCATGAAATTCTTAGAATGCGATGAACAGTGGTGATCATAATTGCTCTGGAAAAATTAAAATTTAATTTATATATGTGTGAACCTTAATTGTATAAGATTAAAAAAATAGTAATATTATGTATTAACATTTTGTTATTTCGATTAAATATTAAATGTTAAGTTTAATTATGAATAAAACCTGTGCATCGCACGGGTTTAAATCTAGTATACACTATATACGAGAAAAATGATACAAAAATTCTTTCTTTATTTAATTCTGCTTGATAATCCGATCCAATGTCCTTAAAAAAAAAATCCAATCCAATGTTGCATAATAGTATCAAAAAATATATTGATATAATCCTTTTTTTTATTAATTGTACTGAGTGTAGTAAAATAAGCCCTTATCACTAAACTTATGGGCTAATTCCACCAATTTTTTATTTTGTTTTTAGGAAATTTTTTCATTTACTCACTTATGTCATAATTTAGGAAACCTATGGGCTAAGAATAGATTTATTAAAGTTATAATTAGTGAAAGGTATAAAATATTGGTATTTTATTGAAAATAAAACCCTAATCCAACAATTTTATCCTAAAGTTCTATCCAATTTTATTGAAAATAAATCTCTAAATTAACTTTTTTATCTTACAAAATCTATGTAAACTTATCCAACATTTTTATCTTATGTGTCATACTAATAATTTATTGCCTACATGGCGCGACATTTGGCGTTTTAATTGCTTTCATGTTACGACACTTGGCAAAAAATTAAAACGCTAAGTGTCACTGCCTCGTGGCCTGACTAAAAATTTAGCTTTATATATTAGTTATATTGTATGATATTCCCTCCGCCCGTAGTTATGTGCAACAAAGGACATATTTTCGGAATTCTAGGCAAAACTTTTAGGGGAGTGTTAATTGAGTTTTGGTGGGTTTAATTAATGAGAGAGAAAGGTAAAAATACAAAATTACCCTTATGATAATATACATAAACTAAACATTTAAGTGTTGAAAAATAAGGGTATATTTGGTATTTATAGTGTGAACACAAATATTTGTAGTGGGTAATAGATGGTGAAGGGGACCACTAACCAAAAAAGTGGGTAATAGTGGGTAATTAATAGTTAAATATTACCCAAAAAAAAGAAAAAAATTTGTTGCAAATAATATAAAACACCCATTTTAGGTAAATGTTGCAGATAATTGCAGACGGAGAGAGTATATGATATGAAGTATGTTATGTGTCGTTTAAAAAGTTTTCAACTCTAGTAAAGTCTAATACTGAGTTTGAGTCAAAACCCCAGTGTCAAAAATATTATCTGGTACTGTTGAATTTTTTTTAGTATCGGGAATATTTACTAATACTAAATTTTCTTACTACGTATACCTTCTATATCACAGGGAGAGATAGAATAACACTCATCCAAAACCGTGCGGCCGGAATTTTTCATCAATTTGGAGCTCACTTATCAGCATAGGCAAGTCATAACTTTTGCTGATAAACAGCACACCCTGCTCCAAGATAGATCCACACTCATGCACAGACAAGACGCATATACATGAACACTTGCGCAGAAATTTCATAAACATACTGATAGTTTTAACAGGAACAGTAGAAGTTAAACAATCATCAATAATTTTGCTGCACGAGATTACAAGTAAGCATCGAAACACGTATTCACAATTCGCTAACATCACCAAGACACAGACACAAGCTTAACACAGCCGAGTGAAAAGCATAATTTCTCATGTCTGGTTTGGGTGAAATCCGCAAAGACCTTCATGCTAGAGCGCTCAAAAACATCATATATCAGCAGTTTGTACAGCACATTCAGCACACTATGTTGAACTTCGAAACTTGACATTCACTTGAAGCATAATGTTATCAAAATTACTCATTGCACCTACCAGTGTGGCAGCTGTGGCTTAGTCAAAACTAAGCAACTACTTACTTTATACTTCAGAAACTGCTATTATCAACTGATGGCAGAGGCAATTGTTCTTGCTTATTGTTTTCTGTAGCATGATCAAGAGATTCAGCAGGTTGCTCTACATGCTCAGGTTGGTCTACATGCTCACCATTCTCTGGCTGAAAATTGATAGGAAACTTTGTGACTCTTGGCTTATCAGCTAAAATATTCCTCTGAACTCTGTCAATCAAAACCTTCTGAGGTGGTTCTTCCCTCAGCTGCTCATCATCATAATCATTGTTCACATAATATCCTACTCTAATAAATTCCTGCCCCATGTATGAGCATGTCAATAGTAACACTGTGACACCAATTATATCCGCTTCACAAATTTTTGAAGGATCTGGAGGGTCAGCCTAGCACAAGCACACAGAACATCAGGAGTGATTTAAAATTACAAGTACCCAAAATCAACACTTACAACGTGGAAGTTTATAGATGACCTGAAGAACAAAGCGAAAGTTGCCAGCATTGACAGGTCCTACAAGAACACTTTCCAAAAGTTGGTCATATGTCTCATCTTCAGCTGATCCCACATAGATTAGTTTCCATTCCAGATCTGTCAGAGAAAAATCGAAACCAATCAATCCGTTTAAAATATGTATGTTGATCAAAAACACCGCAGAACAAGAATTTAAAAATGCATCATCAGGTGACATTAAAGACAGGGATAACAATTATACAAGAAATACACAATAGGCATTTGTTACTTCTACCAATAACCCAATCATCCAAAAGCATTGAACCATCCTACTTTTCAATTCCACATACCTAATCACAAGATAGCAGGCATGTAATTAATTTTATTTGTTTGGACTAAGAAGGTGGTAGATACCAGCATCACAAATGATCTAGAGGTCAAGGAACAGCCCGCACTCACCCCTAACACTAATAGTTACTCCCTCCGTCCCTAATTGTTTGCCCCATGTCCATTTTTTACTTTATTAAGTTTTGGTTGAGTAAATTGACGAGAGAGAAAAGTAATGGGGCACAAAGTGGGTTTTTGTGAGAGTAAAGTGGTGGTCCCCATAGACATTTATGGCATGGGGTAATCTTTAAGGGACATCCATATATGAAAAATGGAGCAAACAAATAGGGACAGAGGGAGTAGGTTGAGAAGTTATACTCTTGTGAGTAGTTTACAAACATGACTCCTTATGGGTTAGAAAAGGAAGGGAAAGAGCATCTACATTTCAGACTTTAAGGTTTCCCCACATATGAGAGCAGAATGTAAGGACAGCAATGTAACCATGACCATTCAAATGCTCTGTTTTTGAAATCTTCAGCTGAATTCAGAGCCTTAAACAAAAACAAAAAAAAAAAAAAAAACTATCTAAACCAATAGAAATTTAACATAAAGGCATACCATATAGACATACACATTATTGGAACATCTGGAAATAGAGACTTGCGCTAAAAGTAGGGTCTGAGTATGGGCGTACTACATACAGTGATACAAGTACATAACAATTCAAACAAATTCCAAATTCCAACAAGTATTAGCACGTTTGCAAACACATATACAGATGTTTCAGGTTTACTCTAATCTTAATAATATTTCTACCTCAAGCCCACACATGACCAGGATATTCACATGACTCTTTTTTCTCTCTCTTCTTCCATTTATTCTTCTCTAGACCACATTCCAATTGAAAACTAAAAAGCCAAGTTCTTCATAAAACCATAGTTCAATTATGTACACACTCAATCACCTTGTTTTCTTCAACAAGGTTCATAGACAAAGAATTCATGTATTCAATGTGACAACAATCAAGCAGCATACACTCTTTCATACTTCATAATTTAGCAAGATACAAGAAAGTTTGTTCAAGAAAGCTTGATATTTTTAATGTGACAAACAAAATCAATATCAACACAAATTATCCAACAAACTGCTCCAGAAATTTGTCTGTGGAACCATCATTTGAGCATATGTGCCACTGCATGCTCACATATATGAATTCGCAAATTGTGATGCTCGCATATTTATGTGTACATTCTGATGATTCAAGTCCCCTAACTAGTTACCGAATCCAAAAGTGGATAGGTCAAACCTCCTAAATTGACTTTCTATCTGGGGTAGAGCAATTACCACCATGAGCAAGCAGATTGACAACAAACAAAGCTCAATAACAAGACACTAATCCATCAAAGTAAAAAATACGGAGAAACATACCATCTTTAAGTGAAACCAAACACTCATATGAAATCTCGAACCGAAATGGGCAGAGAAACGGTGCTGGATTATCCAAGATAGCGACATTTGTGATGTTAACCGCACTCATTGCATTTCTCTCTAAGCTGAAGAAGCAATGCAACAGTAAGACCCTTAAAACCAAGTTTAAACCTATGACAAAAGATTTTCATATTATCAGCGGCAGAAAAACAACCAGAGAAAGAGAAATAGTAGTACTAAACACAAAGCCAAACTAGTTCTAATTTAATCGTTCTACTATGTAATTAAATTACCTTATACCTACAAGAAAGGACAACAGCTACAAGAAAGGACAATAGCAAAGGATAATGTAGTTTACCAGCATAGTTTATTGGCAAGGTTTCTTTATCTAGTAATGTTGGCCAATCTTAGTAGGTAAAGATAAAAAATGATTCCAAAGTTGGAACTCAAGATAAATCTCGATTACGCAAGCGATTTCTGATATTAGGGAAAACCCTAGATCATTCACTAGTCTTACTTCTTGGTAGAAAATTCCGAAACTAGAATGAAACAACTAGAAAATTCATCAATTGGTGTAACTAAAAGATTATCATAACTCATCACAAAATCTAGGGTTTGTCAATAAACAATAATCAAAAGTCCAAAATTCAAATTCAGTCCACAAAAAACTAAAACAAATGCCTAAAAATTAAACTTACAAAAAATGAGTCATAAAATCAAAGTTGTAAACTTCATTAATTCAAAATTAAAGCAAGGAAATTGTAACCCTAATAATCGAATTAAAACCTAAAACGAGAAATTAAACTACAACTGAACAAGCAAGCTTCAGATCGAAGCTCTGTAACAATAATTAACGGAAGAATAAGATGAAGATAATATCAAATTAAAGTATAAAAGTAAGAAAAATGGCGGAAATTTATAGAATTTGAAGATTTAATTACCTGCGAAAGGAGAGAGAATGCAAAAGTGGAGAATTTAGTGAGAGAGAAGAGCGAAATAGAATTGGGTTGGGGGAATTTGGGGAAGGAGGGAAATTAACTAAGAAAGAGGGAGGGAAATTTAGAGCGGTTTATTCATACTACCATTATTTGATGACTTTTAATAGAGCCCATAGCCTTTCAAAAAAAAAAAAAAATAGAGCCCATAATTAATCATTGGGCTTTTGAAGATTGGGTGGAGTTAATTGTTTATGGCTAGACTCTAGTTTAGCCATTTATCCCTACACCCCCCCTAAACGATGCGTACCACACATTCCAGTAACTTCCTTCTAAAACTGCCAGTAACTTCCCACTACCCCACCCATATATATATATAATTAAAAAAAAAAAAACTTTTCAAATAATCACATTTTTCTTTCTCATCCTCTTTCTCCAATTTCTCACTCAACCTCCATTTTCTCTCTCTACTCCATTTTCGTACATGCAATTAGCAAGTAAAATTGTATAAAATGTCCGACATAAGAGACGAAATTGCACAATCTCGACAAATTTCAACAACAACAAACCAAAAATCTAATGAGTAAGTATGTTTTACATGTTTAGTGTAAAATTAATTGAAAATTGCGAAACAAAACCCTAATTTTTTGGTATTTTTTCTTTTTGATGATGCTTCAGGAAAAAAATTGAAAATACTGGAGTTCTAGAACAATCAAAGTAAGTATTACTATTTTTTTTTCGGAATTATAAGCATAAATTTATTTAAATTTGCTCATATTTAAACAAGTTACTGTTTAATTTCAAAATAAACATAATTTTCCTCTATTTCTGAGACGATAATAAAAATTTAAACAAGTTACTTTTAATATTGGAATGTATGCGTAATTTTGATTAAATGATCAACCAAAAAAAATATAAAGTATAGTATTGTGAAATATAATGAACAAATACAAAACAGTATATGTTCAAATTGGATTGTGTGCATATATGTGTGCATATATATGTATACATATGTTCAAATTTGTATATTATGTGTACAGCATGCAATTTATGTTTGTTTCTAAATTGTTCATTTCTAAATTTATGTGTATACATTTACTGACATATTAATTGTTCATGTCTAAATTCCATTTTGTACAAATAGAAAACATATACTTTATTCATCTGTGTAGTAAAATGAACATTTACAAAACACTATATTGTCAAAATTCATATTATGTTATATATATCCATATATGTGTATACAAATGTTCATTGCTACAACTATATTGATCATTTATATGAACTATTATGTACATTTGTCTAACATAGAAACATCATGTCAATTTTTATGATTTACAATATTAATTTACATTGTAGTGATGTACCATTTAAAGTGATACACTTGATGCAATTTGACAATGGAATGTTCAATCCTTATCCTATAATTCATGAGAGAAAAGAATGTTCTGAAATAGACAACAAATTGGATAGAAATGAAGTTATAAAAAAGTGGGAACCCTATTTATTAGGAGACAACCTACATCCCAAGTAAGTTGATATACTTACAAATATTCATATATGTAATATTTAATGTACAATCATTTAATTCAATACTTAATCTCATAATTGAAATAATTTGTAAAATTTTAGTGAACCAAAAAAGTTGAAAGTGAAATGTATAATGTCAAGATCAAGGCCAGAGAAAAATCAATCAATAAGGTATAAATACTTAATAAAAATTCAATAATTAATTTTTATACAGTTACATAATCATACTTTTATGTATTAACATTCGAAAAATTTCAGTGAACAAGAGAAGGAAACTTCAAAAATAGATGATGCATCAACAAATCAAGGGTATATTCTACCTCAATGTGTTTAATGTTCATTTATTTCTTAGTTGTCATACATAATCTAATGATTTGCATTCTCAGGAAAAAAAACAACTGAAGAGGAAGCAAAAACTGATCACCTACAACAAGAAAAGGCTGGATCAGAATTAGTGAATACAGGGTATTTGATTCCCATAATGTTCATTTTCATATTACTTAATAAACATTTTTAATTATTTAAAATTAATTGATTTTCAGAAATCAATCACCTAAGAAAGACACAAGAGAGGTTGAACAACTACAACCAAAAAAGGATGCAACAGGGTATTTTCAGAAATCAACTAATGTTCATTTTCATATTAGTTGATTAACATTTTTAATCATTTTCAATTTTTAATTTTCAGAAATCAATCAACTGAAGATGAGCCTCCAAAAGAGGCTACAGCAAAGGATCAGCCTACACAACAAGTGAAGGCTATAGCAGAGGATGAGCCTCCAACAGAGGAAGAGCCTCCAAAAGAGGATGAGCCTCCAGCAGCAGTTGAAGAAACACATTCATACATAATGCAAAAGTATGAACATATATAACTTATTAAATGTTTCTATTCCACATTTACAATATTATTGATCATAAATTATCTGTTGCCAGGAAAAAATTAAAAGTGTCAACTCAAGGAATACTAAAAAAACTGACAAAAAACTGGAAAACTGCTCCTGTTAGCAAGGTCATTGCTGCTAAAAAGGCCCCTGCTACAACTGTTGATACTGCTGGAAAAGCCACTGCTGCTGAAATGGCCCCAGCTACAACTACTGAAAAGTCCTCTGCTGCAGAAAAATCCCATGCAGCAAGTTCTGCAAATGCACAACAGAAGGCCCCTGCTGAAATTAAATAAATCCTATTAGGTAATGTACATAATTGTTAAATTAAATATTAAATTTTTTTAATCAATAACACTTATACTGAAAATGTTCATTTACCAATTTGTAAATGATCTAAATGTATAGGTGGTGAAGAAATTGAGATTGAGGATGAAACAGAAGAAGAATTGGAAAGACAAGAAGAGTTGCAAAGGGATGAGGAGTTGACAAGAATATTGAGAGGTATAAAACCTGTTGAAGAGTTAAATTTGTCTCAAAAGAGTGAAGAATCTTCACAAAATTCAAAGCAACCAAGAAGGAAAAGGGTTGCAAGGAAAAATCAAAAGAAAAAAGAATTGGAAGAAAATAAAAAAAAAACAGGAATATGAACAATCACCAGCAAGAAGAACAAGAAGTAAATCACGAGGTAAATAAAATGTACAATTTCTAATATAACAATGATCATATTAAATAAAATATTACAACTATATTAATATTTATATAACAATGTTTATTTGCAGATGTTAAGTTGCCTGGCATATCAGCTATAGCAACAGTTGCTGCAGCAATTGCTGAAAACCTACCAGTAGCAACAACACCCAAAAAACCTGGGCGTCCAAGGGCTGCAACTGCAGTTGCAGAGAAACCTGTTGAGAAAACAGGGCGTACAAGGGCTGTAGTTATTGGGAAAGCAGGCCAAAAAGGTAAAAGAACATATCTAAAACAATAAATGTTCAATTACAATCTTACACTTTTAAAATGTTTATTTTACTTAATGTAATTGATCAAATAATTAGGTGGTCAGAAAAGACCTGCTGCATCAGCTAAAAGTCCTGCAAAAAAAAAGAAAAGTCATAGATCAAGTGCCTTATAATGAACCATCAGAGGATGAAGAACAAGAAGAAGTCCCTGCAACAAGTTCTGCTCCTGCAGAAAAGAAAATTCTTAAAAAAGTAGAACAAAAAGGTAATGTACATATTAATAAAGTTAAATGTTCAAATACAAACTAGCAATTTACACTTTCATATATATATGTTCATTTTACATATTATAATTGATCAAATGTTTAGGTGGCCAGAAGAGGCCTTCTGCATCAGCTAAAGGCCCTTTGAAGAAAACAAAAATCATTGAAGAACAATCAAAGGAGGAAAATGTAGAAGATGATAAAAGTAATACTGATAGTGGATCAGATAGTGAGGATCCAGCTTTTGATGCTGAAAAAGAAGAAGATGAAGAAAGTGAGGAGGTGGAAGTAGTTCAAGAAAAGAAAACAACATTGAAAAAACCAAAAGCTGAAGAAAAAAGAATGGTTCTGTATGAGAGGGAACCAATAAAAAAGATTGTGAAGAGGAAAACTGAATTTTCAGTGGCTAAAAAAAAAGAAGAGAAGGAAGAAAAGAATGAAGAGGAAGTTGGAAGTTCGACAAGAGGAGGCCATGTCAAATTCATGCATTGGGTTAAGAAAATGAGTGATACACAGAAGAAATTAGTGCATGAAATAGGACTGGGGCCGTTGTTGGATATAGAACTTCCTCAGCTTGACAAACAATTCAACCATTGGGTTTTAGATAGCTTTGAAGTCAGTAGTTGTAGTTTTGAGCTGCCTAAAGGTGAGAAAATTGAAATTGAGGTGGAGGATGTGAGAATTGTATATGGTTTGCCAATGGGAGACATTCCCATTGTTGAAGCCAAATCAGACAGAGCAAGTGAAGATTTTGGTGTATTTATAAAAAATTGGAGGTCAAAATGGCAAGGCAAAACACCATCTGTAAACCAAATTATTGCTCAATATACAAGTGATAAATTCAAAAACCAAAGGCCAGCAGAAGAAGATTTTCTCACCAACTTTTTGGTAGTTGCTGTGAATTGTTTGATGAAGTGTATTTCAAACAACCAATGCCATTTCAAGTTTCTGTTTTCTATGATGGACAAAGAAAAAATAAAAAACTTGAATTGGTGTCAGTACGTGTTTGACTCTCTCATCAGTTGCCATGTGACATGGAGAAAGAGTGGAGGAAAAGGATTCTACAATGGACCACTGCAATTTCTGATGGTAAGTTTACAACACACAATAGTAAATTATAAAATGTTCATTTTAGTAACAATGAATGTTCATTAACAAAATGTTAAATATCGATTTCGTCTAAAATTTTAATCTTTTATATTAATTGTTCATTTATATTATATTATATGTTCATTTATAGTAATGGGTTTTGGTGCAGCTGTTCGACTTTGACAGAGTTCAAAGATTGAACAAAAAACAACCAAGAACAATTCCAATAATTTCTTGTTGGAAAAGGGATATGTCACTTGAAAGGATAAAAACAGAAAATGATTTGAACTATGGATATGGAAAAGTCCTTCCAAGAATAGAAGAAAAGCCTGCAGACAATCCTAAGGTACAAAATGATCATTTATAAATTATGAAATGTTCAATATCAAAACACATAATGTCTTATATGATTTTTCTTATATGTTCTATAAATGACAGATCTTTATGAATGAATTTGCATCAATGGTACAAGAAGTTGGTGCATCTTTGGCAAGACTTTCTACCAAATTGGTTAAGGCAAAAGAGCTCTTTCCTGGGAATCAGTTGGTCAAGAAGGTAGATGAAGTGTTGGGAAAGATGGCAAGAGAACCATCAATTCTCAGCCAAGATGATGAAATATTTGGATCAGAGGATTTTTTGAATGCCATAGCTCAAATTGAGAAGGAACTGATGGAGGCAAGTGAAGCAGAAAAAAAAAAAAAAAAAGGAAATGAGAAGGAATATGATATAAGGAAGGCATTCAGTTTGGGTTGCAACTTAACTCCCCCAACTCCAACAACTGGTAAATATGCTTAATTAAAAACTGTCATTAATTTGAATATCCTTACTTAAAGAGTATAATATAATTAAAGAATTAAAATTTAATTTATTTGAACACAGAAGCACAGATTAATGTTGCAGCCACAACTTCAACAACAACTGATGCAAATGTTTCTTCTAAGCCAGAAGAGGGTAAAACTTTAATATCTATGTACAATTATGAAAAGTATAATGTTCATTTATAAAATAATAAGTTTGTTTATTCTAAATATTCAAAAAAGTATATATTCAGAATAACAAATGTTCATTTACATTAACAATTTCATATATTTTAAATCAACAGAAAGAGTTGGAGGTTCAAATTCTGAAGAACCACAAGATGGAGGAAATTCAAAAAAAGGTAAAAAGTTCACTTATATAGTATTAAATGAATATTTGTGATTGTAAGATATTCTTCTTTAATGATACTAAGTCTATATATGTGTGAATGCAAATTAATACAAAAGGCATTAAACAAAGGTGAAGGTTCAAAATCTGAAGCATTAGAAGAAAATGTTGAAGGAAATTCAAAGAGTGGTACAATGTTCACATATTACAAATAAATGATCAAATTATTAAGTATAATGTTCATTTCTAGTTATATTAAATTTTTTTCATGTATTTTGTTTGCAGCATCTGATTCAAAAGTTGTGATCCCAAGACACCAACTGAAAATAGGGAAGCTGCTGGAGATATTTCTACAATCTTCAAATCTCCAGCATGTTTAAGTATGGAAGATATCCTTGATAAATCAAACAAGAAAGGAGGAAGCATGGGGTAAACATGGAAGACCTATCTTGTTAGAAAATATATAATTTTGAATGGACATGTAGAATAAATTTGGTTATAAAGTGTAATTATTTTGGACAGTTTTTGTTTATGAAGTTAGTAATGGATATGTATTATAAAATCAGAAGGGAATATTTTGCTTTAGGGTAGGAATGCACAATTTAAGATATGTAAATTATGTATTTTAATTTAAATGTTTTAGTAATATTTTAAGTGTTTATTGTTCAAAAAAGGAGAATAATGTTTTTTTTTATATTAATTACTCTTCATTACTAACCATGATTAATATTTCAGAGAAGACAAGAAGAAACAGATATATGCTTCAAATGTGAAGGAAAGGTAAATGATTATTCCACATATACATGTTCTTTTACATTAAACTGAATAATCATTTATACTATATTTATATTCAGTGAGACAAAAAAGGATTCAAAAGAAATTGAAACAGAGAAGATTCAAATTTCCAAAAACACAACAGGACAAAGGTAAATGGTCTTTACATGTGTATAGATTTATAATGTTCATTATCAATATACTAAATGATCATTCATAATTCAATATTTATTCAGTGACAGAGAGAAGACTTTGGAAAAAAAAAAATCAAGAGAAGCTGAGAAGGAAAAAACTGAGATTGCAAAGGAAAAAGATATAAGGTATTACTATTTGTTCTTTATATAAATTATTTGTTCATTATTAAAAAAATTCATATTTGTATTAATATATGGTCACATTAACTAGGCCACAAAGGGAAATCCCAAATGTTCCTCTTGCTTTCCGATCTCCATACATGGTCAAGTATAAGGATTTGTTCAAAGATGAAGACACAATGAACAAACTTGTAACAGACTATGCTTATAGTGGAAAAGATCAAAGGTATACATCACTTACTTCATTAAAACTTTAACATTACGTGTGTTGTAAACTCATAAAATTTAAAAAATTGATATTTTGCAGTGAGCTACTATACTATGATGGAGTGAATTCGATCAATAGGGAAGAGATGAAAACTCTTGAAGGGGATACATTAGTAGTTAACAATGTGATCGATTCATGGGCAGTACTTCTAAATCAAAAAAGGTCAAAGAACAAGTTATACTTTTCAACATTTCCACATGTAAGTCTTTATTGAAATTACACATGTATACATTGGTGTACTAAAATGATCAATTCACTTATACTAGATGATCATTATGAATATTAAAATGATCCTTGTGCATTATTTGCAGCAAATTATGTATGCAAATACAGTGTGTCCTGAAGGATCATCAATGGAGCTTAGAATTGCATACTTCAAAGAAAGAATAACAAATGAATTGAGGTTATACAAAATCAAGAGTGCAGTTGGATATCAACAGGTATTAATGAACAATATGGAATTATAATATGTTCATTTACATTAATGTGTATATATAATAATATTGTGTACTATGTACAGATTTTTTTTCCAGTGGCCATATATGCACATTTCTATCTTCTATGCATTGATCATATCAATGAGACAATGCATATAATTGACAACAGGAAACTGCCAAAATATCAAACAATTGCAACAAAGTATGAAAACCAACCCCAATTGGTGGTAAGTATATTGTTTAATAGATATATAAATGATCAATTTGTTTATACAAAATGATCAATATTGAAAATTAAAATGATCAATATTAATATGATCCTTTGAATTTTTTTTTCTGTATATGTTGCAGTTAAAAGGATATGCAGAATATTTGAAAGGGTTGGGGTATGAAGATGCAGATTCTATTGAGAAATATAAGGTGGAGGAGCAACGAAGATTACACCAACTGTGGAGTTTACATTATGAAACATATGGAAACTTTCACTGCTGATCCCAATGAAGAATGGGTTTGTGACCTAAAACCAAACAATGTATGTAAATTTCAACAAAACAAAAAAATATACTTCATGATCACTTTATAATACATAATGATCATTTATATCCCATTAATGTTCATGTTTATAATAAATTATTTTCTTGGAACAGGTGAACCAAATCAGAAAGCTCAGAGTACAATACACTGCTGAACTAATGCTGAATGAAGGAAACAGGCAGTCACGGAACAATAGAAGAGCAGCAAGAAGATTTGCACAAGCTTAATACAATATGTTCATATATAGACATATATATGATCATACTTGCTTTCAGTATTTGTATGGACATAAGTTTTTGTTGTTGGTCAAGTAAAGACAAAATTTATTATCTTTTTAATATTTACAAATAGTAAAGTGTTACATTATAATTGCCAGTTTTAAATCATCTAATATAATTATTCCAATTTAATAATGGTTCTTACTATTTAAAATAGTATATGATCACTTCCAAAAGCAAAAATAATCATTTATAGAACATTTAAGAATAGTTTGAAAAAAAAAAAGATTCAAATTACTTAATAAATCAAAATATAAAAAACTTAAAGCACTTGAATCTCTATAAAGTTGAGACAACTAAAAATGTTGATAGTTAAACACCAAAACATAATTGCATATTGATTTACTCTCTTATTTACCATTTGTAGCCAATCTCTTAGCCACACTAGTATAAAAAAACGCTAATAACCTATCATATTTGGTTGAAATCTGTGGAGAACCTCCTTGAGTACTTCTTGAAACAGTAGGAGATCCTTGAACATTCATTGAAACACTAGGAGAAAGTAGAACATTCCTTGAAACACTAGGAGAAACTTGCACATTCCTTGAATTTCCTTGAGTACTTCTTGGAACATTAGGAACATCATGCACATTTCTTGAAATACTAGCATCAACTTGAACATTCCGAAAACAGCCTTGAGGACTTCTTGGAACATTAGAAGGAGCTTGAACTTTCTTCGGAACACTAGAATGAACTTGAACATTTCTTGGAGTTTGGAGGATTTTGAACAATGCTAGAAACTTTAGAAGGAGCTTGAGCATTGATTTGAGCATGCACAACTGTGGGAAATTGTACATTTCTTGGTTTCTTTGGTGGCAATTGAGAACTTGTTGGAAAATTATCAACATCATGAGCAATTGCAGCTGTTTTACCCTAATGATCAAAATTAAAATAATTAATGATAAAATTCAAAATTCATAATGACCTTATACAAAATTAAAAGGTAGATGAGTAATATTTCACCTTAACAATAGAAGATATGTCTGGATCAACAGTAACGTTTGATTGCATAGAGCTATATCCATATTCCTATAATAAAATGAAAATTATAAAAACATTATAATCACAACTTAAACTACTAAAATGAACAACTACAATTACATACATAATCATTTACATAATACCTGTTCAAAGTCATTTGAAACACTATCATCTGAAAGGGATATCTTCTACAATGGCAGTCTTTTTATTACAAACCTTGAAAAAAAAATTAAAAGTAAAAATGTTTAATATTCTAAAGAATTTGATAAAAACAGATAAAAAAAAAAGAAAATAAGTTTTTACCTGAGCACTTGGATCTTCAATCACAATTAACTCATTAGGATCAGCCAAAGAATTAGCATAAGATATAGGACACCCATTCTCGTCCAATTCCTAAGGCAAAACAAAAATGTTCAATTCTTGAACATAAATGATCAATAACAAAAACATAAATGTGCATTATTACCTGAACTACTGCTTGACCTTTAGATCTTTTATAAGGAGTGTATACTGACTTTTTCTTCAACCACTGACCCCTGGCTTTGTTATAAGCCTTCTCTAAATTACTCTTAGGCCTATAATTCCTCTCTCCAATAGGTCTTGATTTTGCCGGATTCTTAACTTCATGATCAACAATTTCAATACCTTCAACCGGTTCATTAAAATCAATAGTACCAGTAACACTCTCAATCTTTTCTTTTAAAAGATTGAAATAACATTCAACCTCTGCTCTAGCATTCAAAGAGTGTTGACAACTTGTTACCAACTTAACAAATTTCCTTATTGTTTGTGTCCTCCAAACACTTGTAGATACTACATTGGTTTTCATTGTAGGTTCATCAAGGCCATGACTACACATAGCAGCCTTAGTCCACCTCTTACATATATAGTCATCTGGAATCTTATGAACACAATTCATATGATAAATTCGAAGAGCATGACAACAAATCAAACCCATTTCACTAAACAACATGCATGTACAACATATTGCATGTGTTTCTTTATTAAAAACAACCTCGTGCTTGATCATATCTTTCCCAGGTCTCCACAAATGATAATAATATTCAGGAAAATTCACACCAGCATCCTTATGATCACAAGCAGTACCCTTAATGAACTCTTCCTCAAAAAGCACATAAGCTTGAATAGTATACAATGATCTAGCATGAACAAGAATCCCAATGTATGCAAAAGCCAAATGACGATTACCTCTGATTGTATTATAATCTCTCCCTTTTTCTTTGCTTCTATACTCTTGAACCACATCGAGAAACACTTGATAGAAATCACATAGACCTTGTGTCTTGTTAAGCCTTTGAGAAACTGATTTGTTAGTTGTCTCACTACGTTGAGATGAAAGCACACCTCCTGACCAAAATTTCTTTGAAAAAGCTGGACACCACATCTCTTTGATTTTATACAAATCATTCAACCAATCAACATTTGCACAGTCATATTTCAACAACATTCTGTAAATGAAACATGATCATTAAGCATAACAGTTATGATCATTATAAATAAACATTTATAAAAAACTAAATGTTCATTTCTATAAAAATTATTTAAGAAGCTAAACAAGTATAAAGCAGAAGTACCTTTTCCAATAATGCTCAAATTCTGGTGGAGTTTCACAATACTTCAGTAAATAACCAAATAAATCAGTGAAACCATCCAAAGCTCTCAACGCCCCAATGTGTTTCTTAGAATTTTGTTCAATATGCCACACACATAATCTATGATGAACACCTTTGGGGAAAATATTTCTTATCCCAGCTGCAATTGCTTGAGCTTGAT